AGTGTCACCACACATGCAGCTGCAGGGGGTGCTGACAAGTTTTAGGCCCTTTTTTTCGTATCATTCTGCCCATAACGCACATCACAAGGCTTCTATCGGCCTCTGAGAGCGAGCGGCAGAGGCCAAGGGAGAGGCAGAGTCCCCGTGGCGCAGGGAGCCCGAAGCAGGGGACTTGATCCCAGGCCCCCAGGATCCTGAGTGGAGCCGGTGGCGGCTGCTTCACCAACCGAGCCTTGCAGGCGCCCGGCGTTTTTTAGTTTTTAGTCTATTTACGAGACGGAGAGCAGAGCCGGGGATGGCCGGGACCCTGGGCCCTGCCTGAGCCCTGCCTGAGCCACGCTCCCCCTGCAGGAAGCGTACACGCAACGGGCCGAGGCGGCGGCACAGACGCCCCACCTGGAGGCGAGCGCAGGGACCGGCTTCCCACTGCAGGAGAAGGCCGCAGAAGGGGTCCCAGGTGAGCGGTGGGGACAGGCAGCTGGTGGACGGCGCGGCGTCGCGGGGCCATGTCAGGTGCCTGGACGCTGCGCGGCCTGTGGGGTTTCCTCCGACGGAGGGCTGGCCTGTCCGACCCGTGCCAGCAGCAGCAGAGAAGCTGGAGGGGTTTGTGGACGCCACAGCAGGTGGGGACCCAGACCACGGCAACAGCCCTCTGCTGCGGGTGGGTGGTCCCAGGGGGCAGCTGGGCCTGGGGAGGGTGACAGCGTGTCAGGCTGTGAACCCCAGGACCCCCAGGTCTTGACACGTCTGTCCACCCTGCCTCATAAGCCAACTTCCTTGACTTCGCAGAATCCCAGGTGGCCTCCAACGACTCGGACTCTGAGGTAGAGGAGACCTCAGACCTGTTGGCGGCGGCGGCCAGGGGCGCCGCACACCGCCTCAGTCTCCTGGAGAAGCAGGGCAGCGAGACCAGCGTGGAGGAGGGCCAGGGCAGCCGCAGCGGCAGCGAGGAGCGGCTGGAGGCCGCGGCCGGCGCTGATGGGGACGGGGACGGGGAGGGCCTGGCCCAGCAGCTCTTGGAGTACAACGCCAACCAGTGCAACAACGTGGCCGAGGTCCAGCTGCCCACCATGAGGCTCTGCACTGGGCAGGTGGCAGCAGGCAGCGGGCAGGACAGACAGCTGGAGTTTGTCTAGCTGGGGCGCTGGGCAGGCCAGTCCAGGGGCCGAGGGCCGGGTGCTGGGTGCCGGCTGTGCCTGGCTCCCATCCCCGTGCATGACCACTGTGAGGCCTCCTCCTGCCAGCTCAGTGCAGGGAAGGGGTTTCTGGCTGCCTTTTCAAGAAGATTCCAGGAGCAAGGAGCAAGCCCAAGGCCTGCCCCGTGTCTACCTGCGTGCCAGGGAGTCCTCCTCTCCAGTGGTCTCAGCCATGTGGACAGAGGAGCCACGTAGGCCCCACTGAGTGGCCGGGTCTGCAGGGCCAGCCTGGAGGCCAGACAGCAGGGGCCAGGTGGCAGCATCGGGAAGTCCCCAGCAGCCCTGGGAACCTGAGTTGGGGCCCCTGGGGTATAGGCACATGGGGGGGTGGGGTCTGTCTTGGGTCACGATGTACATTCTACACAGATGCATTGATTTTGCTTAAAATAAAATTTTTAACCTGAGCCCATCTTGTCTTCAGGGGCGGGATGGGGATGCAGAGGCCCGTCATCGCGATCTCCTCAGCTTCTCACGGGAGCCCCCTTAGGTGTGTGGGCCCAGGCGGCCCAGGAGGCTGGCCGGGCATGCAGACATCAAAGCAGCACTTGGTAGAAACCTAGAACCCGGGGATCCCTGGGTGGCGCAGCGGTTTAGCGCCTGCCTTTGGCCCAGGGCGCGATCCTGGAGACCCGGGATCGAATCCCACGTCGGGCTCCCGGTGCATGGAGCCTGCTTCTCCCTCTGCCTGTGTCTCTGCCTCTCTCTCTCTCTCTGTGACTATCATAAATAAACTAAAAAAAAATTAAAAAAAACAAAAACAAAAAAACCTAGAGCCCTGCGCTGCTCCTTGAAACCTTCCAGATGGCAGGCTGTCTGGGGCGGCAACCAGCCCCATGTGGCTGCAGATCCCTGGAAATGTGACCCATGTGCCTGAGCAACCCAAGTGTGAATCTCATTTACACCAAACAGCCTCAGAGCTGTGGCCAAGCAAGCAAACCCTGAGCTGGGAGCAGGCGAGGACCCTCCCCAATGCCTTACGCCCTCACCGCAGCTGGATTGGTCATGGAGACCCAGGGACAGCTTGGCAGCAGAAGACCCAAGTTTTCATCCGCTGTGGAATGCGGGGTTAAGTCCCAACCATCAGGCCAAGAGCAGCTGGGGAGAGGGCGCCCCAGACGGGCAGCACAGGCCAGCTCAGGGAACCAGCAGCAGCGCCCGTCATAGCACTCTGCACAGCTAGCTCACCCCCGCACTGCCCCGTGGCAGCTGAGAAGGATCCAGAAAAGGTCACTGAGCCATCAAACAGCAGCCTGACGCTAAAGGCACGGGGCTGTGCCCACTGGCTCACGTGTGCCTGCGCCCCCGCTGCCTTAAGTGCCGTAGGGACCATCTGGCCCGGAGCTGAAAGTACCCATCGTCTGCCCCTCGCGGAACAAATCGGCCGGCCTAATACACATTTTTAAAAAGTCCCAAGAATGAACGGATGGAACTGTTCTGTGCTCAGCCGGGCAGCGGGCCACGAAGGCGTCCCCCTGCAGCCGGGCTGGCCCCGAACACCAGGGGCCTTTAGTTTACCGACTGGGGCCAGCTGCAGGCCAGGCCCTACCAGGCTCACAGCACGTCACGGGCCTGGGGCCCCCCCGCCTCAATCCACGGTACCCACGGAGGAGGTGTCCCTTCCAGAAAGCCCAAGGCAGGCGTCAGACCACCACTCAACCTGGCCAACCGCGGGGGCCCGGAACAGGCGGCGCTCAGCGAGAGGCTGGCTCTGGTCCCCACGTAGCAAAAGGCGGAATTCCCACAGGAAAGCCAGGTGCTGCTGGGGGGGCAGGCGGGGACAGGGGCGCAGGCTGACGGCCGTTGCTGAGGGAAAGCAAACCCGACCTAAGGCAAAAGGGAGAATCCTTGAACCGATCCACAGTCTGCCCTGAAGAACGGCCAAGGCTCACGTCACACCACCCAGACCCCACACGCCGTGCCAGCCCCTCTGCCGCAGTGACACGCGGTCCCTCTCACGCAGAGAACACGCGTAGCTTCCTTCATTTACAAACAAAACACACTTAAAACCCCACCCGGCGGGAAGGACACCAATAACCCACATGCTTTTCCTTACTGCGGTTAAGATGTACAGAATATTTACCGTCTCTGTGCAGCTCAGGGCACAAAGCACTCACCCTGCCCTGTACCCCCCCACCCGCCAACCCGTCTCCAGAACCTTCCACCTCCCCACACAGAGGCCCCGTCCCCAGGAAGCACTGACCCCACGCCCCCTGCCCCAGCCCCGGCTCCCACCACCTCCTGTCTCCGTGGACGGGCTGCCTCTGGGGACCTCCTGGGAGTGGGATCTGTCCTATCTGTATTTTGGCCAAGGGGGGGGGGCAGGGGACGTGTGCACCACTGCTAGACACACCACCAAGGAGAACGTTTAACACCTGGGTGGCTCCGCAGGAGGGGGGCCCTGAAGCAGCCCCCTCCCTGCGCACTCGCCCAGGACGACCCGCGGGCTACTCAAGAGAGTATCGGGATCTGTGTCTGCCTGAGAGCGACGTGCAGTGGCTCATACAGGCCCAGGAGTCAACCCCAGAGTTTAAGGCAAAGTGTCAACACAGCAAACTTACGAACAGATATACAAAAAATCTAAAATGTGGAACACACTTCCGCCAAGTGTCACGTGATAAGGGGCCTGCACACCTACGTGTGGACGCGTGCCAGGGGGACGGAGTCAGCGGCCCGACTACACGCCTCGCGAGGGCTCCGAGCAGACCTTTCTCCAGATGACAAGCCAGTGGCCTCTGAGCACATGAGCGCTGCTCACGCTGTTAGTCACCGGGGAGAGTCACAAGGACAGGGAGGCTGCACCTCGCCCCAGAGGCCGGCAGCGAGTGCAGCCGGGGTGAGGGAACAGGACGGAAGGCTGCCGTCGCGCCCAACAGCCGGTGGTTTCTCCACCAGCGGGCAACCAGCTTCCGTGCAACCCCGCAATTCTACAGCCTCCACACAAAAATAAAATAATAAAAATAAAATAAAATAAAATAAAATAAAAATAAAATAAATAGAATAGAATAAAATAAAATAAAATCACACCTCCACACAAAACTTGCCTGTGAACATACATGGCAACGTTATCCACGACTGCTGGCGAGTGGACGAACCCAGTGTCCACTGGAGGGTAATCGGGTACGCAAGCGTGTGCACCCACAGCTGGAGCTACAGGGCGTCCCCCAGATGGGCACGTCCGGCCCCAAGCAGGAGCGAGGCCCCCCCTACACGCTGCCCAGGAGAAGGACCCTGAGTCCCCGACACTCAGGGAAGGAACCAGACACAGGAGGCCCCGTGGGGTGGGAGTCCACGCGTGTGACACGTGCAGGACGGGCTCGTCCACGCACGGGGAGGGGCCTGGGGAGGCTGGGAGCTGGGGAGGAGTAGAGGGGCCAGGGGGAGGCTGCTGATGGGGCCAGGGTTGCTTCTGGGGAGATGACGATCCCTAGAGCTCTAGAACAGGCGGTGCTGAAGGGCCACAGATGGTGCGCCGCGCGGTTCGCCAGTCACAGCTCAGCTAATTGGCAACACACAGGTAAACCCCGACCCCCGACCAGGAAGGCTTTCTTTCTGAAATCAGACACAATCTGGGAAACCGGGTAACCCGACCCCAAACGCTGATGTGGGAACGGGGACAGGGGAGCCACGGGCAAGCCTGGCAGCGCTGCCGCCTAACGTGCCCCCCCACCCCGAGGCCTCCCAGGCACAAGACGGAACGCAGCCACCGTCGCAGAGAGCAGGTGCCACGGAACGAGGGGGCAGCCCAGGGTCGAGCGCCTAGAGTGAGGCCACTCACCGCAAGGCTCGTTTTTTCACACAGGCCGCTTTGTTTACTCAAACACCTTTAATTTTTAAAAACGCCCAACATCAAACAGCGACTGGCTCCCTGCTGCTGGGCTGTGCTCACAGACAGAGGCCTCAGGGCCACCCACGGGGCACGGTGACAGCACAGTGCCGGGCGGCCAGAAACCTGACCCAGGACTGCTGTCACCGGCCGCCTGCGGGCCTCCCTGTGGCCTCCCGTCCCTCCCCCGGAGGCAGCTTGTGCCAGGTCCAGCGAGGGCTCAGCACCCAGAAGCAGCAGTGAGGTTCCTGAGGGCCGTGGCTCCCACAGGGCAGGCCAGCCACCCGGCGCGCAGTGTGGGGACGGTGGCCACAGCCCCCATTGGTCTCTGGGCTGCCGGGCGGGCGGGAGCGGCACAACCAGGCGTCACGTCTGTGCTGTGAGCCGAGACCAGCCGAGTGCGAAGTGGGGCCACTTCCGCGCCCCCCCGGAAGGTGACAGACGACTGAGAGGAACAGGAAGAAAAGGCTCACTGCCAGGACAGACACAGGCCCTCCTGCACCCAACAGGGAGGCGCGGACCCCCCGCCCGGGCCCCGCGGCCACAGGGCGCAGCTCACCTGAGCCAGGTGCTACTGCACCAGCCGGTAGGTTATGTACCTGCCCGCGGTCTCACTGGGCCGGATGATCTTTACCACCTGCGGATGTGCGAGGGGGGGGGCTGGAGTAGGGGCTCACAGCGGGGCCCGGGCAAGGAGCCCGCAGGACTGAGGGCCGCGGCTCTATGGGAGCCGGGGTGGACCTTCTCACCTGCCCTCGCTTTATCCCAAAGTAGCGTGCCACGGGGTCTCCTGCCTGGATCCTGGGCAGCTGGTTCTCTCGGAGTTTGCTGAGACACTCAGTCAGGGAAAAAGCTGGGCGGGGGGGAGAGGGGGGGCAGAGCCCGGGGGCGGGGAAATGGGGTCCCAGGGGATGGGCTGAAGGATACTATCGGGCCAGCAGCTCTGTCACCTCTTCCTTGGTCATGACGACGTGCTCTGGGACCAGCTGTCGAGAGGGGAAACTGAGTCTGTGGGTGTGACAGGCCCCACGGTGCCCCCACACGGGAAAGGGGAGCAGAGAGCCACAGGCTGTTTCCATGGAGTCAACCATCCACCCAAGGGTCCCAGCTGCCACCCCACCCTGCTCCTGACTCCACGCCTGGGGGGAAGGGGCTATGGCCTGCAGGCGCCTGGGGGGTATAACCTGGGGAGTGCAGGGGTCCCTGGACAGACCCCACCCCCTGCCCCCCAGCTGCCTGACTGCACACCTGGCAAGTGCCCAGGGCCTCACTGAGACTCCGGCTCTGCTTCCTCCTCCCCACAAAGGGGAGCCACGGCACCTGGTGCATCCCCAGGCCCTCCCCGTGCTCGGGCAGGTGCTACCTCACCAGCCGTCCAGCCTCCCCTCCCGCAAACCCCCACGAAGGCCCTCACCTCGTGCTCCGTGATGTTGATGAGTAGCTCCTGCTGCAGAAACTGCTCCAGGATGTACTTGGGGGCCATGTCAACCAGGGACTGGAAGAGAGGCTGACCCTCAAGCACAGCCAAGGGCCAAGACGCCGCCACGCCATCTCTCCCAGGGGCTGAGGGCAGGTGGGAGCCAAAGGGGGTTCCCACGTGTCAGGTCAGTGAAGCTCCTCTGGGAGGAAGAGACCACCTGACACAAACTGTGACACCTAATAAAATGCTCCCGCAGTTGTCCCTGTGCTGGTGTGACGTAGAGAACCCTGCAGGGACGAGCGCACAGAGCTGGCCCTCCGTCCCAAACAGCAGCCCCTCCTCGGACCTGTTCACCCACAGGAATGCTGGCACCCATGCAGGGCACCTCCCCGCTCTGGCTTCTCCCCACACGGGAGAGCCGCTCCTTCTCAGATCCCCAGATACTGGGGCCCATGAGGACGTGTGGCCAACACGAGCAGCGTGCCCACCTGCTTGGCGGAGGGGGTCATGCCCTGCTGCACCACGATGAGGGCCCGGGTGATGTTCTCCTCCTGCATCCGCTGGCAATACACCTTGATGGTCTTGATTCCCACTTTAGGCTCCTCTGGGGACAGAACACACAGAGGTCTACACTGCAAGAGCCCCTCCTGCCCCAAGGGCCCTGCTCACTCACCTGCTCGTTCACTTCCACCCTGCTGGGCGCACGGGCTCCAGCTCGACCTTGCCAAGGTGTAGCAGTGCCTCTCTGGACCAGCCCCCTCTTTCTAGGGCCCCAGGGAACCCACCAGGGTGCCAGTCCTCCCCCCCATCCCCCGTGGAGCTGAGGGGTGTCCTGCATCTACCCACTTGGTGGATCCCTCCCTGGAAGCTGAATCTGGGGACCTACGTGGTCCAAGATCTGAATATCCTCAGATGAAGCAGCTGACCTGAGGGACCAAACCCCCTCCCTGCACGGCCAGGGTGGGAACCCTCACACTCACCACTGTCCAGGGGCCAAGACCTGCTGGACCCTCTGAGCCTGGTGGAAGGTGAGCAACTGGGTGCCTACTGCCAGGACGCGTGCGTGCGGTGCAGCACATCTGCCCCATCACAGCTCTTCCCTCGGACCCTTGCTCACCTGACGTGCAGTGTCAGGGACTGAGCTGTGTCCCCTGGAATCCCCGTGTTACAATCCTAACCCCCGGGACCTCGGGTGCAACCGTACTTGGAACTGAGATCTTTCAAGAAGAGGTTACAGGGATCCCTGGGTGGCGCAGCGGTTTGGCGCCTGCCTTTGGCCCAGGGCGCGATCCTGGAGACCCGGGATCGAATCCCACATCAGGCTCCCGGTGCATGGAGCCTGCTTCTCCCTCTGCCTGTGTCTCTGCCTCTCTCTCTCTCTCTCTATCATAAATAAATAAAAAAAAATTTTTTTTTAAAAAAAAGAAGGGGTTACACCAGATCGTCAGGGTGGGCCTTAGTCAGACACGACAGCACACGCACACAGAGGCACGACCTTGGGAGCTCACAGAGAAGACGGCCGCCTGCACGCCAGGGAGAGGCCTCAGGGGGACCCAGCCCTGTGCACACCCTGGTCTCAGACGTCCTGCCTGCAGCCCCGGAAGAGGTCAGGCTGCTGCTGAAGCCGCCCGGTCTGCGGTGCCCAGTCGCGGCGGTCCAGGTGGACCAGCACGGCCGCTCAGTCCCGACCTGTGGCCCACTGGAGCACACGGGCGCCCCGGGGCCCACTCCAGGGAGGGCCCTGCCACAGGCCGACCCACACACGGGGACGAGTTTGCTCGAGCACCAGGCGGGTCCCTCCTGCAAAGGTTTCCGACGCCCTTGCTTCTGGGCAGGCGGCTGGGCCCCCCGGGGAGGCCTGTGACAACCCGGCTGCACTGAACAAACAGTCAGCGGGGAACAGAACCCAGGACTCCGATCAGCACCCCGTGGCACCGACCGCAGCAGGCTGGGCACTCGGGGGGCGGGTGTAGACACCGGCTCACGCAGCTGCCACGGCCGCCCCTGGATGGCTGCACTAGGGCTGCGGACTCCTAGGAGTCACGCAGCCACCCAGGACCCGCGCGACCCTCACCTGGAAAGAAGACAAACATCTGGTCGGTGGGGTCGTCGTTGTGGGCCACCAGCACCGTGAGGTCCGTGCGCCGGGGCCGCCCCTCGCTCGGCTTGTCCCCAAACTGGGCCTTGAACTCTTCCAGCGTCTGGTCCAGCTCATCCTGCGTCACCAGGTAGCCGCGGTCGTGGCACAGCTGCAGGGAGAACCAGCCGGGTGACCCCCGGGCACAGAGGGCAGGGCGGGAGCGGCGCGGGCGGATGACGTCACCGCGGAGAAGGACGGACAGGGCCGCGGCCCCGGCGCCGCCGAGCGCGTGGGGACCGGGCAGGAAGGGGCCGCAGAGGCCGGGACGCACCCGCCGAGCGCGCCCGGAAGCTCCGAGCTGCGCCCGCCGCCGCCCTGACCGCGCGGGCTCACCTGCATGATGGTCTTGCGGATCTTCCACAGCCGGTACGTCTCCTCCTCGTCGTCCATGGCGGCCGCCGCTCGCAACCCGCGCGCCTGAGCCCGCGGCGGGGGCCCGCGCTCACTGCGCCTGCGCCGAGCCCTGGCCAAGCCCCCCGGCCGCCCTGCGCGGGGCTGCCCGCAGCGAACGCCGGACTCCAGAGACCTTCGCGGGCGGCAGCGCCGAGGGCAGCCCGGGCCTTCTGCGAGCGGCGGTGGGCGGAGCCAGAGCCGAGCGGACGGGACCGCCCACTCTCGCCTCGGCAGTTCTCGCGGGGTTTCGGCCGCGGGGCCTGTTGGGAGTTGTGGTTTCCGCCCGATGCCCGTGTGGGTGGGGAGTTTGGAATGCGGAAGGGCGGAGGCGAGGTGTGGGCGGGGAAACTGAGGCCAGGGTGGGGTCAGCGGTCGGCTCGCCTCCCCGAGGCGGCTGGGCATGTAGTCAGGCCCCCCACCAGGAACGCGTCCCGCTGCTGGGCGTCGCCGCCGCCTTACTGCGCAGCAGCCTCGGGTCGCCCGGGTGGCTCCGTGGCTGAGCGTCCGCTCGGGGTGTGATCCCCGCATCCTGGGCTCGAGTCCCGCATCGGGTCCCGCAGGAGCCTGCCTCTCCCCCAGCGTTTCTCAGGAGTAAATAGTCTTAAAAAAAAAAAAAAAAAAAGGCAGCCCGGGTGGCTCAGCGGTTTAGCACCGCCTGCAGCCCAGGGCGTGACCTTGGAGACCTGGAGTCCCACGTCGGGCTCCCTGCGTGGAGCCTGCTTCTCCCTCTGCCTGTGTCTCTGCCTCTCCCTCTCTCTGTCTCTCTGTCTCTCGAGAATTAAAAAAAAAAAAAAGTCAGAAGCCTAAGCAACGGATGCCCCCCCCCCCGCCCCCGCACCCCCTCCGCCAGCCCGTTTCTTATCTGCCGTCTACACCCGTTTCTCCCTGGTCTGTCCGCCCTGGGCCGGCAGCTCCGCAGCTCCTTCCTGCTTCTCTCCACATCCTGTCCACCCTGTCCGACTGCAAACCCTCCACCTTCAGAACTGCGGGCGCCGACGTGAGCCCCCATCTGTGGCCCTCTCCCTCCCGTCCCCCTCCCCCATCTCTCAGCTGAAATGCAGCAACAGCAAAGGAGAACCCGGGCTTTTCAAGGCAATCAACGAGGCCTCCCAGGTTTGCCCCAGGTTTGCCCCAAGACAGCCTCTGACCTCCCCTCCCCCGTCCCCTGGGGCCTCCTGCAGCCAACGCAGCAGGCAAAGTGCAGCCCCGGGGCCTTTGCACGCACTGCACCCTCTGGCGGATACGCCCTTCTTCTGACGTTCCTACAGCTGCTCCCTCTCCTTTGACCTCTTGCTGCCACCCCTCTCGCTCCCTGCCTTCCCTGAGTCCCTTGATTGTTTTTTTTCCTTTTTAAATATTTTATTTATTTATTCTGAGAGACACAGAGAGAGAGAGAGAGAGAGGCAGAGATCCAGGCAGAGGGAGAAGCAGGCTCCACGCAGGGAGCCCGACGTGGGACTCGATCCCGGGTCTCCAGAATGAGACCCTGGGCCGAAGGCAGGTGCTCAACCACTGAGCCACCTGGGCGTCCCGAGTCCCCCTGTTTGAAACCTGAAAACCTCCCATCTACTTCTTCCATCACGCTGTCACCTTCTAATGTCATTGTTGTGTTCACGGTTGGTTTCTATGCTCCGTCTCCCTGGGACGGAGGGGACTTGGCCCGTTTCCTTCGCAGTGTCTGGGGATGCATCCCTGAGCAGGAAGTTCCTGACGGCCTCCACTGGGGCGCGCGCCCACGGGGCTGGGGCTGCAGGCAGAGGCCGGTGGGCGCAGCGGGCAGGACAGGGTGCACACACTCGCCGCGCCCAGGAGCGGTGCCAAGCCCCTTGCAAGCACGGCCGTCCCTTCAGGGCTTCAGCTCACCCTCTGAAGCCGGGACACTCCATTTCCATTGTACGGAAGGGAAAACTGAGGCTCGTAGGCATTTTATTTTTTATTTTATTTTATTTTTTTTTTTTAATTTTTATTTATTTATGATAGAGAGAGAGAGAGGCAGAGACCCAGGCAGAGGGAGAAGCAGGCTCCCTATGGGGACCCCGATGCAGGACTCGATCCCGGGACCACAGGGTCACACGCTGGGCCGAAGGCAGACGCCCCACCACGGAGCCACCCAGGTGCCCCTCGGCTTCTGACTCTTGATTTTGCTGGAGTCATGGTCTCAGGGGCAGGGATTGAGCCCCAAGCCGAGTCGGGCTCCCCACTCAGTGAGGAGTCTGCTTAGGATTCTCTCTCCCTCTCTCTCTGCACGTCCCCCCACTCGTTCATGCACTCTCTCTCTAAAATAAATAATCTTAAATAAAATCTTAAGAAAGGCCGCCCTGGTGGCTCAGTAGTTTAGCATTGACATGGGCCCAGGGCGTGGTCCTGGAGACCCTGGATCGAGTCCCACGTTGGGCTTCCTGTGTGGAGCCTGCTTCTCCCTCTGTGTGTGTGTGTGTGTGTGTGTGTGTGTGTGTGTGTGTAATAAATAAAATCTTTAAAGACAAACTAAATAATATTTTTTTAAAGAAGAAAAAAAGAAAGGCATTCCAGGAGCACGTGGCTGGCTCAGTTGATGGCACGTGAGTCCCAGCCCCACATTGGGTGTAGAGATTACTTTAAAAGTAAGTTAAAATTAAAACTGAAAGGAAGAATGAAGAGGTTCCTGTCGACCTGAGGAGAAATGTGGAGGAGACAGCGGGGTATGGGTCCGGAATCCAGGGCAAGGTCCAAGTAGAGACAGGCATGTGGGAGTCATTGGAGCCTGGAGCCTGGATGAGGTCACCAAACAGACCCGAACCCTTGCCAAGATTCAGAGGCCAAGAGGAGGGGAGGGCACAGACCCCGAAGCAGCGGCCAATCCTGCTGTGTGAACCGAGGCCCATGACTCAACCTTGTGCCTAAGGGCCTCCTTTCCCCCTGCCTTACAGAACAGGGACAAGAACAGCACCCACTTCACGGGGGACTTGGCTAACGATTGCAGCACCCTGGTGCCAGCAGTGTTACACGAGTGCTCCTCGGGTAGAAGAAAGGGCAGCAGGAGGTGCCAGGTGCTCTGGAACAGGGGTGAAGAACGTGTCTGGAGGAGGAGGAGGAGGAGGAGGAGGAGGAGGAGGAGGGAGGGAGACAGCGATCACCAAAGCCACCAAACAGTGAATCTGAGCAGACCTGAAGAGTAGGCAGGGCTTTAGCTAAGCAGACACTGTTGGTTACCCTGAGGAGGGCGGATCAAGAGGGCGCCTGGCCCGGGTGGGATTTATGGGAAGAAAGGATTTGGAGATGTGGCCATGATGCCAAGGGGAGAGGGGGCCAAAGGACAGGGAGAGGGCTAGGAGCAGACTTTAGGTTGGGAGAAGCGGCTGGAATGAGGAGCAAATCTGAGCGAGGAGAGTGGGTGGGATTGCTGGAACCTGGGGCCGGGTGGGGGAGGCTGGGCCCAAGAAGGGTTGGCCTGGATGGTTCCCGGAGAGGGTCAGGTATGGTTGGCAAGTAGCTACAGCAACGGGGGCGTGGACAGTAGGTAGTCTTGCTGTTAGACGGGAAGAGAGGAGACAGGGCTCAGGGGAGCAAGTGGGCCTGAGGACCCCAGAGAGGCTGGCAAGGCCTGAGCACAATTCCAGTGACTCGAGTCCAGGGACTGTGCCCTCAGCACCAGGACACAGAGACACAGAGTGGTGACCTGCTCCCTCGCACCCCTCACCACGCTGTACCACATGGCAGGGCCCGAGGCCCAGAAATCCCGCCACCATCCGTACACTCGTGGGTGAGGATGTAAAACGGAGCAGATGCTGTGGAAAAAAGTCTGGCCGCTCCTCCAACAGTTAAACATGACACCATTTGACCCAGTGATTCCACTCCTAGGGGCGTACCAAGGAGCAATGAAAACATATGCCCACACAAAAACTTGTACAGCATCACAAGGCGGAAAGGTGGAAACAACCAAATATCCATCAACCATCAACGTAGGAACAGATAAGCACAGTGTGTCCATCCGCACAAGGGAACGTTACTTGGTGGCAAACAGGAGTGAAGCACTGACATATGCTATCCTGGGGAAGGATCCTAAACACACGTCACTCAAGGAGCGAACCGGACACAAAAGGCCACGAAGTGTGTGATTCCACATGTGTGAAACACCCAGAACAGGCTCATCCATGGACATGAAGGGGGCTTGTGGTCGTTAGGAGCTTGGAGAGGAGGACGGTGTGATGGCTAATAGGAGAGGCTTCTGGAATGTTCTGGAATTACATAGAGGTGATGGTTGTACGTTTTATTTTATTAGTTTTTTAAGATAGACTCCACCCTGGGGAGCCCAATACAGGGTTTGAACTCATGACCCTGAGATCAAGACCTAACATGAGATCAAGAGTTGGGACACTTAACCGACTGAGCCACCCAGGCGCCTCGACGTTTTAAATACACTAAAAAACAAACAAACAAACAAACAAACAAACAAAAACCCACTGTACCCTTTAAGATGGCTAAATAGTAAATTTTATGTTAGGCGGATTGTTTCTCTCCACTTTGAAAACGCCTATAGCCGGTGGACAGCTCAGCCTCCTCACTGGGGACACAGGGGACCGCCACCGGGAAGCCTTCCTGGAGCCCTGAGACTTCCCCTGCACTCCGTTGCCCCTGCAAAATGCAGTGTCACCGGCCAAAGCGCAGACCCCTGCCACAGCCTGGGGCTCGCCTCCCGCAGGCAGCCGCAGCCGCAGCCGCAGCTCGGGCCTCAGGACTGGGCGGGGGCCCACAAGGGCCCCGCCCGGGCTGTTTTTCTGGCCCCCCTGAAACCACCACGTCGGGGCCAGCTTTGCACAGAGGTCACGACTGCAGCAACCTCGGAAGCCGGAGTGTTCCCCAGCCGGGCAGGCTCCCCGGCCAAGCGCAGGGTCGGGGAGGCGGGCTGGGGGCATGGTGCCTTCAGGGAAAGGACCGTGGGGGCCCTGTCCAAGGGGTGACGCTGAGAACTTGGCCCCGGGCTGGAGGGAGGAAGCCCCGTGAGGACGCTTGTGCAACCCGGAGTGGAGCAAGCCGGCCCGGGGGCGCGCTTCTCCGCCCCGCTGCCTCTACCACCACGCTCGCGGCCGGGCCCCTGTGCACTCGCACGGGCCTGCTTCACAGGCGGGGGGGCCTTCCGCTCCCCCAAGCGAGCCGAGCGCGGGGAGCCCTGCCCCGGGGCCCTGCAGCCTCGCTCCGGGACGGGCGGAGCGGGGCAGGACGCGGGTCCCAGCGCTGCGAGCTCACGGCAGCCTCCGGACCAGAGGTCAAAGTCCGGGCCCGGCAGGGCGGGGGCGGCTCGGCCCGCGGAGGAATCCGTGGCTCGGTCCCCCAGAGCGGGCGGGGCTCTCTTCCGCGCCGGAGGCCCGGGCCCGCGGTGAACACAAGTCGGGAGCGCGCAGGCCGAGCCCCCCCGCGCCGGGCGCACGCGACGCCCCCCGGGCCGCGCAGGCTCCCTCGGGCGCACCTGCACGGCGCGCACCTGCGCGTCCTCGCGGCCGCCGGGCCCGCTAACCGTCCGCCGCTGCGGGGCCCCGGCTCACGCCCCAGGGGCGACCTGGGCCCCGGCCTTCGCTGCGCCCGCGGGCCACGCTGCAGCCGCGAGCGAGCGGGCCCGGACCCCCTTTGATTTTATGCACTTTTAAAAGAAAACCCTCCAGTGTTCAAAGAGCTGGGGCGACTTCCCTGCGAGTTCGAGGCCCCGCCACGGGTTTGCAGCGGGACCTCGGGCCGCCGGTGGCGCTGCGGGCAACGACCCGGGCAACCGCCCCCCCCCGCCCCCGCCCCGTCCCAACGCGCCGCCCGCGGCCTCCCGCAGCCCGCCCGCCGCCGAGCATGCGCAGTCGCCCACAGCCGTGGCACCGCCCCCGGGCCAGCCCCGCCCCCGCCCAACCCTCATGCCGGCCTCCCATTGGTCGGCGTCACCACGCGTCCGCCCCGTCTGCGCGTCGGACCAATGAGGGCGCCGGTGGGCGTGGCCTAGGGCGGGGAGGCGAGGCCCGCCGGCGCGCGTCCATTGGTCGGCTCAGCGAGGGGAGGAGCCGCTGCCTCCGGCGCCCCCGCCGCCGCGATGAACCTCCGCCGCCTGTGCCGCCTGCTGAAGCCGGCGCTGCTGTGCGGGACCCTGGCCGCGCCCGGCCTGGCCAGCACCATGGTGAGCGCGGCGCCGCGGCGGGCCAGCGGCCGTTGGGCGGGCCCCGGGGCCGCGGGGGTCGGGCGGGGGCCCCGTTGGGCGCCTGCGGGCCGCGCGGGGTCGTGGCGCGGTGGCCGCGGGGGGGGGGTGGGCGGCCGGGCGCGGCGAGGGGGGGGGGCACCCGGCGGGCGGCGCACCCGCCCCTCCCCCCGCGCGCCCCGGGCCCGCGCGGAGGCGTCACAGACGGGCGCCCTGGCTACCGGCCCTCTGTCCCCTCCCGCCGCGCGGCCCGCGGTGGGCACAGGCGCGGCCGGACGCGGGCGGGCATGGGCCGCGCGGCCGCCGGGTCCTCGGGCCGCCGCGGGCAGCGGCGCCGGTTGCCGGGCAGGCGGCGGCGCCGAGTTCCCCGGCGGCGGAAGGCTGGGGCCTGCGGGCGCAAGAGGGCGCGCCCCCGGCGGGCGGAGACGGGTCTCGAGACCCCGAGGGAGGCGGAGCCCGCGACCTGGCAGGGCTGCGGCGCGGAGTGCGCGGACCCGGTGCGCCCCGCGCCCCCCGCCCCCCGGCCCGGCGGGGCCCCCGGCGTCTCTGGACCTCGGGGTCTCGGGTCCGACGTGCGCTGCGGGGCAAGGGGCGTGCGCGCTCGAGGAGGAGCGGCCGTCACTGCGTTCGCGCCCCGGGGACTTGGTTTTCCCGGCGCGGCCCCGCCTGGGAGCCCTTCCTCCTCCGGGGGCGGGTGGGGCGGGGGTGGGGCGGGCCGGGGCGGGCCGGGCCCGGCGAGGGGCCAGGTGGCAGCCGCGGGCTCCGGGCTCCGCGCCCCGAGGCCCCCGCGCTGCTCAGGGCGCCCTTGCCTTGCAGTGCGCGGCGCGGGACGACTGGCGCTGTGCTCAGTCTATGCACGAGTTCTCGGCCAAGGACATCGATGGACGCGTGGTGAACCTGGACAAGTACCGGTGGGTGCCTCTGCCCCGGGGGGCCGGCAGGGCAGCGGGGGCCCCGACCTGGCCTGACTGCCCCCCTCACCTCCAGGGGCTTCGTGTGCATCGTCACCAACGTGGCCTCGCAGTGAGGCAAGACGGACGTAAACTATACTCAGCTTGTCGACCTGCACGCCCGACATGCTGAGTCCGGTTTACGCATCCTGGCCTTCCCCTGCAACCAGTTCGGGAGGCAGGTGCGTGGCTGTGCGCGGGCGGGGGGTGGGGGCCGGGGGCCGGGGGCGGGCGGTCGGCTTCTCGCTCACCCCGGCACCGCCTGCCACAGGAGCCCGGGAGCAATGCGGAGATCAAAGAGTTCGCCGCTGGCTATAATGTCAAGTTCGATATGTACAGCAAGATCTGCGTGAACGGAGACGATGCTCACCCGCTGTGGAAGTGGATGAAAATCCAGCCCAAGGGGAGGGGCGTCCTGGGAAAGTGAGTGGGAGGCCAGGGGAGGGGAGGGGGGCGCAGGCGTTTGGGGGGACTCGTCTGACTTCACGTGTCTTTTGTAGTGCCATCAAGTGGAACTTCACCAAGGTAAGAGCTGGGACAGGCCAGCACTGCGTCCAGGGCCTGCTCCTGCCCCTGGGCCCTGCCCCAAGGTGCTCCAGCCCTGGCCCAGCGGGGTGGGGGGGGTGCTGCTTGCTCCCAGCCCCTGTGGCAGGATCCCCCCAGCCTCCGGTGGTTTCTCCCCCACCCCAACGCTCTCCCCCTGCCCCCATGGCTTTCCTCCCACCCTCTCGTGGCTTCCCCCCTCCGCCACCCCTGTGGCTTCCCCCCCACACACACCCTCCCGTGGCTTCCCCATTTTGACATGGTTCCTCTCTGGGCAGTTCCTCATTGACAAGAATGGCTGTGTGGTGAAGCGGTATGGTCCCATGGAAGAGCCCCTGGTAGGTGCCCTTCCTGCAAGCCCGCTGGGGGTGGGGGCCGAGGGAAGAGGCCACCCCTGACCCCCCCTTTCCCCCCCAGGTAATAGAGAAGGACTTGCCCTGCTACCTCTAGCTCCACAAGTATGCGCCTCCCCACGGCCCCTGCCCCTCGGAGCCTTCCACCCGGCACCCATGACGGTCTGTCTAAAAACCAGTCCGCTGGTGGGGCAGACTCGAGAACCCGGCGTGCACCCCCTGCCGGAGGAAGGTTCCTTTGCCCGGCTTGAGGCTTGGCCCCCCCCTCCCCCCCGTTATCTTGTGGGAATAAAACGTACAAATTGGCCTGCCCTGTGCTGCTGCCTCCCTGGGGCGGGGCGGGGGCGGGGGCAGGTGCTGTGGGCCCCAGGCTCTCCTACCGGCCCTGGGGCCCCGATGCTAATCTTAGCAGCCCCACCCCTTGAGCCCGGCAGAGCTGATCTGGGGGAGATCATAGGAATTACTGGCTGTTCCTCCTGGCCCAGGGTGTTAAGCTGCCCCGAGACCGCTGTCCAGAGCCCAGAGGGGAGGTCAGGGGGCCTGGGCCTGGTGGCTCTGTCCCTGGGGGAGCCAGGCACCTGGGGCTGAGCAGCAGGCCAGGCTGGTCTGGGCACAGAGCCACGCTGGGCAGGGCTACTCTGAAGACTGGCCTCATTGTTGAACACTGAGCCCGGGCACCCAGGCCTGCCCCTGGGGCCTCATCTGGCAGAGGGAGGGGAGTGTTACTTACAGCCCCCCACCCCCTGCCCCAGGAGGATCCTTTGGATGGACACCTGTGCACCCTTGGGCAGGGGGCACAAGCCTTCTGCCTGCAGCTCCAGAGCCCTCCTGGTTAGGGGGTGGGGGACAGCATGGCTGGAGGGTGGCTGAGCCTGCCCCTCCCAACCAAATGCCAATTTCTACTATGGCAGTAAAGGTCAGTAGCTGAGGAACGGGGCTGGAGAACTGGAACAAGCAGGTTAAGAGCAAGCCCAACCACCCTAAGCTGCTCTCTTGGGGTCTCCTGGCTCCTCACTTGTCCACATTCTAGCTGGTGACAGGCCAGACCCAGGTATGCTTCCCGTGGCTTCCAGGAAGGGCCCGGCTCTTGGGCCCTCCTGCTCCCGGGCTACCCCAGCTGCCCGCACCAAAACTCTCTGACGCAGCCTTGGAAAAAACCAAAGCAGAGGCCACAGCTGTGCCCAGCAGAGAGGGACGGACTGGTCTCAGAGCACCCCCATGAGGCCTGGCACAGCTCAGAGACCGCTGGCCTACTGCGCTGGTGGCAGAACAGTAGACAATGGCCCCTCGGGGCAGGGACTGTCTTCTCCAGCCTGGCCCTGTCCTCACCTGGGTCAGCGAGAGGAGTGGGCTGGTCCCACCCACCCTCGGTGCCCTCTACAGGCGACAACCACCTCGACCTCCCCTGCGTGAGGTCACTGTGGGCATCTGCTAAATGCTCCTGGAGGACACATGCAGGGCCCCCTCCCCGTCCTCACGGTCTCTGCAGGCTGGAGAAGCAGACAACCTGGGAAGTAGTGAAAAGGCACATATATTTAAAAAAGATTTCTTTACATATGTACACTTGAATTCATTATAAATACACATAGAAACCAAGGGGCCCGTCCACACCGCCAGCTCCACGTCAGATTCTGGGGCCTGGGAGAGGTGGCCGGGCAATAATTTAGGGAGCAAAGAGTGGGGAAGAATTGCATATATTAATGGGGGGAGGGTCTGTCCCATGGAGCCCCCCAGAGAAGGCAGGGCCCTGAGCACCTGGGGTTTCCTGAGTTTCCAGCTCTTGGGGCCACCCAGTTTTGTGGATTTCAGGGGTTCGGGTGAGACCAGGCCCCGTAAGGGTGGGTGGGGTGAGGTGGGGTGGGGAGCCCCTGCCTAGGCCTTGGGGGGGGAGGAGAAGACAGGCACAGGGAGGTTGGGGCCCCCCCTCCCTCAGGCCCTGCCCGAGCCTAGACCCCGAGTCTAGACCCCGAGTCATCCTGAGTGGGACCTGCACTGCCCCGGAGGGCCCGGAGGGCCCGGAGGGCGGGCGGCGTCGCCAGGGTCCGCCCAGCCGCCGGCAGGGAAGGCACAGCAGTGGAGGCCTCCGGAGCTGCAGGAGGGCACCGCAGCCCCTCCCCGTGGTCAGCTCGGGCGCCAGGGCCCTGTGCACCACCCACGTGGGGAGGGGAGAAGACCGAGTCCCCGCGGACGCGGTGCGTATTGCAGAAACCGAGCTTCCTCTCGGACGCCGGCTGTGGGTCGCGCCCGGCCTAGGAGTTGGGGAAGGGGGGGCCGAACTGGATGACGCTCTGCCGCTCGGGGGCCCCGCCCCCGCCCCCGCCGGGCACCCCCACCGCCCCTGCGCCCGGCCCGGGGGGCCCGGGGGGCCCGGGGGGCCCGGGGGGCGGCCCCGCGTTGAGGGAGCGCAGCATGTCTTCCAACACCTCCTTGAAGTTGATGTCGCGGCCCTGGTGCGCCAGGGCGGCGGGGTCGGCGGCAGCGTCGGGGGCGCCCAGCGGCGGGCCGCGGGGGGCGGGCGCGGGGTCCGGGGGCGGGAAGGCGAAGGGCGGCGGGAAGGCCTGCGCGGGCGGGCTGTAGGTGAGGTCCAGGACCTCCCCGGGGCCGCAGGGCAGCGCGAGCGGGCGCAGGGCGGGCGGCGGCGCGGGGAAGCCTCGGCCGCGCGCGTTCTTGCGCTTCACGTCGGCGTCCATGAGCTGCAGCTCCTGCAGCACTCGGCGCACGCAGGCCTCCGGGATCTTGATGCCTGGGGGCGGCGCGGCGGGTCAGGGCCTCCGCGGGGCGCCCGCGCCCCCCGCCCCCGCCCCCGCCGGCGTGCCCCCCCCTCCCCCGCTCACCGACTTGCTTCTTCTTGTCCTTGGTCTTGAGGCGCACGATCTGCAGGTAGCTGCTGCTGGTGACGTCGGCCATGACGGCGGCGATGCGGCCCCACACGCGCAGCAGGGCCCCGCACAGCATGTAGTGGTGCCGCAGCCGCAGGCCCTGCGTGCAGTCCTTGCCCTCCTGCACCAGCCGGCAGTGGCGGTTCCTGCGGGCGGGCGGGCGGGCGGGGCTCACACCGAAACGCCCCCCACGCCCCCTCCCGGGGAAGGGGGGTCCGGACGGTCCAGGTGCTGACCCGGACACGCCCCCTCCAGCCGGCCCAGTACGGGCAGTGGAGAGGAGGCGCCATCCCCGCCCGGTCCATCCCACCCCGCCCCACCCCGCCCTCACCATGCCGTGTGGCTGCAGTGCGTCAGCGAGAAGGTGTAGCTGTTTTCCCAATGCTCCCTGGCCTCCTCCGCTGTCACCTGGGGACACGCAGCTACATGAGCCACCTGGACGGGCAGACCGTCCACGCTTCCCGGTGCAGAGCGGCCCAGGCCTGCTCCTCCTGCTCCTGGCAGCCGGGGAAGCGCCCACCGAGGCCCCGCCCCAGGACACTGGAGGAATAGGTGCCCTGCACCCCAGCCCCGGGCCCCAGGCCCCAGGCCCCACTTGTACCCGGCGGAACTTCCGGCGCAGGCTGTCGAACGTCTCCAGCTGGCTCTGCCGACCCACGTTAGGCTTATACACGGTGAAGTGCTTGCCGTGGTTCTGCTCCGCCAGGAGGCAGCTCAGCTTGTTGCCCCGAACCTGGGCAGGGGTACACATGAGGCCGGGACGTACGGGCTGCCGCCCCTTGCCCACCATGCTCCCTGTGGCTGGGGTCTTGCCCCTGGGGACCTGTCGGGGCCTCGCGGCCACCCACCTTGTAGGAGAGATAGAAGCCATCATCGGTGCCCGTCAGCTCCAGCGACCTGGCGTAAGCCTCGTCCCACTTCAGGCCGCGGTCCACACTGATCTGCGAGAGCATGTGCGCTTAGAGCAGGGCCAGGGGCCCCGGGGGTGGGGCCAGGCCTGCCATGCTGGGTGGGCCAGTGTCTGCTCACCTTGTAGAAGACCACTTGCCCGTCCTGCGGGTGCCCGGGAGCCAGGAAAACCTGCTGGCTCTCCTCATAGATCTCGTCAATGCCTGGAGCCAGGTCTGCGGGGAGGACAAGCAGGGGTGAGACCCTCCTGCCCGGGGGTCCCCCAGGGCAGGTCCTGGCTCCATGGGTCTCAGCATGCCCTGAGGCCGTGTGTGGCTCAGCAGGCTCTGGGCTCTGGGCTGTAGGGGGCCCCAAGTTCTCAGGTCCACCCAGAGATGCCCACCAGGGAGCACCGTGGCGGCTTTCCCCAGCATTGGCCTGGCCCCGACCCTACCCAGCAGCCTGGATAGGAAGCGGCCCCTCCCAGGGTGGCCTGGGGTCGCCCCCGCCCAGCACCTGCTGGACACTCACAGGTGTGACTACAGACAACAGTGCCCCCTCTCTGTGCGGCTGTCGTGGGATGGTGGTTATGTAAGAGTCAGCAGACCACACTGCCACTGATTTATGAGTAAAGTTTTACTGGCACATGAGCGTTCCTTTTCCCATAGTCTGTGCTTTCACTACCAGGGCCAAGTTGAACACTCAGAGACTGGCCGCCAAAGCTAAAAATACTGACTCTGGCCCCTTTCTGGTGGGTTTGTAGCCCCATGGCCCCTGCTGTTCTGGTGGGGGCCTGGCCTGTGGGCCACGGGCCGTCAGGTTCCTTCGGGACAATGAGAGCCAGCGTGGCAGGCTCAGCACCAGCATGCCAAGCATGCCAGTACATGCAGTGCATCTAAATAAACTTTCCAGGCCTTGGGGGACACCCGAGAACGGGGCCATGTGGTACCCCCAGCACAGGACAGCACTCTGCTGCAGCAGCACCCGCTCTCCTGAGGTCTCCATGATGCCCCTGATCCTGTACCTCGGGCCCTGCCAGTGGCTTCTGGGGGTGGGGACTGCCCAGGCCCGGCCTCGCTGTCCCCATCTGCTGGGAGGGTGGCACTGCAGCAGGCACCGTACCATGGGGGACGTTCCTGCTCTGGAGATCCCTTTGTCACCGACAGGACCCTGCCTGGGGACCCTGAGCTGAGCCCCCCGGGGAAGCTGCCCTCACCCAGGATGCCCATGTCGTATTTGCCCTCCTTCTTGTCCATCTCGATGAGGTGATCGAAGGTGTCAGAGAAGTACTGGAACAGGGCGTTCTGCTTGTGCACTTCTAGCCCCAGGATGCGGTTCAGGAACTTGGTGATGGAGCAGTCTGGTGGGCGAGGGGGGCGGCGCTCAGGCTGTGTCAGGGGCCCCCACGGTGCCCCAGGGGCCTCCCCACCGCAGGGCTGCGCCCAGTACTCACCCTTCTCCACATCCAGACAGCCCGTCCTGGACTCGCGCCCACCGATGCCAACTGACAGCAGGCCCTGCTTCATGTCTGTGGAAGGCAGGGCCTCGCATGTCTGCTCCCTGCCGGCCCCTCCCCAGCCCTCCCCCCTGGTAAGTGTGCGTGGCAGGAGTGTTTGCACACAAATCCAGTGCACCCCTCCCAGGGCCCCGAACAGCTCAGGGCCCCTCACTTGCCCCCAGCTCACCCCGAAAGAAGGCGGCATCTCCTCCAGGGTAGCCCCGGGGTAGCGGCACCTTGTTCTCAGTCTGGTTCAGGATAGTGGTGAGGATGCAGCCAAGGGCCCGGGCGCCGTACTGAGTGGACAGACAAGGGAGGTCAGGGGGGCCTGGGCCCAGGCCACCCCCTCTCCTGCCCCGGCCCCTCTCCAGGTACCTTGTTCTCAAAGTTGTACTTGCTCAGGTCACGGGACTCAGTGGCGCGCCGGTCCCCGTGGGTCAGAGCCCCCTGCCCGGGACGGGGAAGGCCGTCATGAGCTGCCCACGCCCCTCCCGGTGTCCCGCCGCAGCCCCACCCGCCCACTCACCAGGCTCTCCAGCCGCTTGGCAACGATGGAGGCAAACCTGCGCTCCCCCGCCAGCTCCGAGATGAGGAAGACGTACTCCGGCGCAGAGACCTGGTTGGACCTGTGGGTCCGGCCTGGAAGCAGAGCAGGGCTCTCAGGGACCACCGGGCGGCAGCGGGCGGGGTGGCCTGGGGCAGGGCGTCCTGGGGTGGGGCTCACCGAACTGCTGGATGGCACGGTCAGCGCTCCAGGGCAGCTCGAGTGTCATGTGGACCCGGCGCCGCTGGTTCTGGACGCGGCGGTCAGCTTGGAGGGAGATGCCGGAGCTGGAGGCCTCGGAGATGATGGCCACGAGCTACGGGTATGCGGACGGGACAGTTGGCAGCCTGCCCGCTCCTCTGTGCCCTGCCCGCCTCGCTGGGTCACCAGGGCTCGTTTAGGGCGACCCATAAGGAAAACTGACACGTGTGTCCATGAGGGAGCCCATGTGGGCCATGAGTGGAGTCCCGGCTGCCCCCGGCCGCCGCCAGCTGCCCCCGGCCCACCCTGGGTGGAGTGGAGCGGCCGGCCCTGCCCACACCCTCATCCCACGCTGGGTTTCAAGGGAAGGCCTCAGAGAAGCCACTGAGCAATGACAGCACCGGTGCCAGTGACTGAAGGTGGGATGGCCAGGGACACTGCAGGGGCCCCGCTCAGGCACACGTGCACACGTGCCCTTACACTCACACATACCCGCAGGCACGTACACACGCCCGTGCGTGATGCACACACACCCAGGAGGGGCTGCAAGGGTCTGTGATCCTGGGGTCAGCCCCTCAGGAACCCTGCACCTCCCTGGTCCCACGGGGTCCTCACAGGCTCCCCCCAACACTGGCAGGAGCACCTGTTCACAGGTTCCCGGCCCCCCAGCCCCACCCCCACGGCCCCCACCTTCTCCCCACTCATGAAGCGCTCCTTCTCCCTGAGGTTCACGTGGTCAATGGAGAGCCCTTGCTCCGCCCGAGACTCGAAGGCCACTGTCCCGTCGGGCCTGGACACCACACGGCCCTTCCTGCCGGTCATCTGGGTGGGGGTAGGGGAACGACAGTCAGCTGCTGAGGCCACACAGGGGCTGGTCGTGCAGGCCTGACTCCCTGCCTGCGCACCTGTGCCCCCAGGCTCCTGAGTGTGTGTGCAGGGAAGGGGCGGGCTGCGGAGCCTGAGCCAGGACACGGCCTCTGCCCTGGGACCCCAGCTGCCCACAGCCCGCCAGCACGACTTTCACTCCATCCTAAGTCTGTTATTGTAAAACGGCTGCCTGGGGCAGAAACAGACCTGGCTGGCCACCACAGGACACCCCAGGAAGGGGTACAGTCGTGTAGGTGGAAGGCAGGCTGGGGCACATGAGGGTGTGTGGGGACGGTGGGTGCAGAGCTGGGCCGGGGAGCAGGGGACCAGGTGTCAGTGGTCGAAGGAGGAGAGTCCCCAGCAGCCACCTGGGCCTGGTGGGCTGGGCAATGGAGGCCGGACCTTGGGGCTTCCGGGCCTGAACCCGGCCCCACCGTGCTGGGTGGGGACTTGGGGTGGCCACCAGGGGGCCTCAGAGCCTGACCCAGGTGGGGGCCCCAAGGAGCTCACCTCGGCTACCCGCTCAGGGCCCCCAAGCTGGTCGATGAGCTCATCCAGAGTGTTGACGGGCAGCTCCCGGCCCAGCATCCGCACCTTGGCCAGCAGGTCCTGCTTTAACCGCTCCACACGCTCCAGGATGCCGGGGCCATGTGGGTCCCGCTGCAGGGGGCACAGGGGCCCTGCAGGGCCAGAGGGTCAGGGGTAGCACGCATAGCAGAGGACGGCTGGCGCACGGGAGGGTGTCCCTCAGCCCAGACTGCTGGCGTGAACCCGCTGCCTCTGGGGACGGCCCTGCCAGCTCCCCAAGCCCGTCTCCCCCCGTCTGCAAAGTGCCAAATGCCGGGCTGCGGGCCTCACCGCGGTCATCGGCCGGCAGCCCCACGGCGTCCAAGATGAGCACGTCGTCGTCCAGCACGGACTCGGGGGAGGAGTGGAAGTCACTGTCCAGGCCGGCATCTGACTCTGTGCTGCTGTCATCACTGATGCGGATCACGCCCGCCGCCTCGCACGCCAGCCTGGGTGCCTTGGCCCCGCGGCCCCGTGGCCGCCCTGCACACAAACAGCCAGGCTCACGGAGGCCCGGCCTGCTCCTCCCTCCTGGAGGGCCCAGCTCCCGGCGACGCCCCACATGGGGAGGGGGGCAGCCGGGGCCAGGCACACGTGCTACAACACTAGGGGCCCGAGCCTCCAGTCCTGTCCGGCTTTGGGCTGCTCTCCTGGGGCCTGCCGTTGGCCCGGGCATGGTGTAAAGGGGCAGTTTTAACGTCCCCATCTAATTTCCTGACACTACGTTGTATCCTGGGGTGGTGCCCCGGGAGGCCACCCTGACCTCACAAGGCAAGCTGGGCGGGTGGGCAGAGGATGTGTCCAGGTCCCGAGAAGATGGTGGTCCAGGCACCTTACGTGCACTCCCATAGTCCAGGATGCCCCAGAGGCCCCGTTCTGGGAGGGGGGACTATGTCTCCCAGGTCTGGCTGTGTGAGCTCAGGGGAGTTGCTTGCCCTGAGCCTCACTTCCCATGGTGAGCTGATGCTCAGCGTCCACCGGAAGGAGGGTAAACACCTCATCCAGGGATGCTCTTCACGAGCCCCATCACGGCCCCAGGTGCCAGAATCTGAACCCTGCACCCTCACCCCCGCCATCTGAGGGTGATGCTGGAGGCCACAGGGGCTGCCTGAGGACGAGCTAAGTGCACCATCCTGTTTTTTGCTAACTTGGCAGCTGAGGGGAGGTTTGGGGCCCTGCTGGCGTCGGGGACTCCCTGGTGGGCAGTGCCTGGGGGCTGCTAGCCGCCCGGGGCTCTCTCCTGGGACGCTGTGCTGGGTGGCCTCTGCGCCAATCACCCTCACCCCTGCACAGGGGGTGGGTGGGTGTCAGCAGGCAGGTCGGCTGAGGGCCAGAACCCCCCGCAGGCTGTGCAGCAAGCAGCAGAGAGGGGCGGATGCCCCGGGCCGGAGCCGGGCCGACAGGGAAACCTGGAAGGGCCACCAGCCAGGCTGTGTGGGGTCAGGGGTCAGAGGCTGCCAGCCGTGGCGGGGGCACTTACGTTTTCTCTTACTGCCTGCTCCTCTCTCTCGCTTTCTTTTGGTTGAAGGAAAGTGCTTCTGAATTAGCGACAGAAAGACGCCCCTGAAAGCAAGAGGCAGAATTTACTCCCGCTACAAAGAGGGTCATGCTGCCCAGCTGGAGGCCCGGGGTTCAGGGAGGGCGGGCGGCGGTGGGGGAGGCAGTGGTGGGGGGTGCGGGGAGTGGGCAGCTGGGAGCCTCGTCCTGAAACCCGGGTCCCTCTGTCAGCACCTTCTGAGCCCTGGGGTCACCCGTGGCTAGTCTTTCTGGTTTTAAAACTGGAGACTCTGGGGGCTGGGCTGGTGTCTGAGCAGAGGCACCCCTGGGCTCTCATGGCTGGGGTCACCAGGCACCGGCTGTCACATGGGGAGACGTGGGGGGATTGTCCCAGGACTGACTGTACCACCTGCCCTGTGGACGGCAGGCATCACTCACTCAGCAGCAGAGACAAAGCAGTCAAGCTGCCCATCCTTCTCGTCCAGCACCTCCCGGGTCCGAGCCTCACCCGTGGACTGCAGGCCGATGACCACACACTTGGGGGGGTGGGGATGGGGTGGGGGTAAGCTGGGCTCTGGGACCCCCAGGCTCCCAAGCCCAGCCCCAGAGTTGGCCTCAGTTTCTCTCTTTGCACCCTTTGCCAGGCCCCCCATACCCAGACCCACCCCAGAACTCCACACGGCAGCAGACAGCTGGCCTCCGCCCTCCTGGACCCTCTTCCTATTTTCTGCCCTGGCTCCTGCCCAGCTCCTCCTGTCTGGACATGGAGGACTTGCGGCAAGGCCGTGCCTGTCACGCGCTTCAGGGGAGCTGGTCAGGCAGGACCAGAGCCTTCTGGGCCTCGGCATCACTGGTGCCACACACTGTCCTCATAGGCTCAGCCCAGCCACACACGGACACGGGGGTCCTGTTGTAACCACAAAGCCCTGAGCCCCTGCCTGGCTCTTGAGAGGACAGGGGCAGAGTGTCCAGGCAGCCCTGCAGGTCCAGGCGCTGCAGCTACCCAGCTCACCTTGTCCCGGGCCAGCTCCTCCCGGGCCAGCTCCACCAGCCGGTGCACTTTGGCGGCAACGCAGAGATACTTGAAGAAACGCTGGTGGGCCGACCAGAACTGGCCCCACAGGGACTTGCGAGACTCCAGGCCGATCCAGTCGGCTGCCTGCTGGAACACGCCCAGGGCCTCGGCCCACTGCAAGGACATGCCCAGCTGAGCCTGCTGCTGCCCAGCGGCTACCCGGCTCCTACCCAGGCCCGCCGGCCCCCACCCGGCTGAGCAGAAGACCACCGATACCTAACCGTAGGAAACGTCAAAAAACTGAGATGTGCAATGCTGGCAAGGCCGCGGGGAAACGGCACACTCAGGCCGCACAGGAGAACGGACGGGGCCCTCAGGACCCCCAGACTTGGGCATACAGTGGGGACGCTCCTGGCATCGGGCAGATAGGCCCAGTGCTGGACGCCCCGCAGAGAAGGACCCAATGGGGTGTGGGGAGATGGCCCTACTGTGGTTCGAGCTGAGAACATCCTCTAGCACACCGTCAGGGCGGATGCTCAGGGCTGGCCCCGCCGCAGGTGAACTCTGCCCGTGAGAACGAGGGAGCCCACCCGCACGCAAAGAAGAGGTGGCCATGCCACATGCAGAGACGTGGATGTGGGAAACTGCCATGAGCCCCAGGAACACGGGCTCCTGACATGGTGGGAGGGTTGGTGGGGGCCCGGTTACACGCCCACATCACTCCAGTCCCGGAGGAGCTGCCCACGCCATCGAGGCGCCGGCCTCCAACCAAAGACCAGGCAGGCGGGCCCGACAAATGCCGTCAGGGGCCCTCTGATGACAGATTCCGAAGGTGACAGGGGCACGGTTCCGATGGGAAGCATACACACGTGTCCACGCAGAGGCTCCCACCGCTCTACCTACCAGCAGCGCCGCGCGGTTGTAGACACGCTCGAAGGCCGGGGCCAGCGGGATCTCCTCGATGCGGAAGGTGACGCCGGAGAAGCTGAGCTGACGAGCAATGTACATGCCGCTGACCTTCATGTCCATAGCCACGATCTCCATGGCACCCACACCCCTGTGGACAGAGACAGGGCCACCCGACCACGTGCTGGGTCCCACTGATCAACAGAGTGACTTGGTGAGGGGGGGGAAGGCACAGCTGCGGGTGAGGAAGGGCCAAGGACACAGACAGTGGAGGGTGCACATGCAAAGGCTCCCTGTTCAGCTTGGGCCGAGGAGGGGCAGGCGCCCAGGAGGGGCTCCGTCCCCTAGAGTGATGGGAAGCACCGGGCAGACAGAGGGTGAGATCGGACATTTAAGATCCATCCCTCTGGTTGCTGGACGAGTTCAGGCCAGGAGGTGGAGCAAGCACAGCCGACATCAGGCCCCAGTGTGTGAGGAGCAGGGCCCCGATGGTCCCCGCCAGCCCATCTCGGGCAGGGAAGGGCACCCACCTCTTCTCGATGGCGTGCAAAAACTCCTCAAAGGTTCGGAAGGGCGTGCCGTCGCCCCAGATGCCCAGGCGGCTCATGTAGATCATGTTCCGGGGCTCAGAGGCACCTGGGTTGGGGCGCTGTGGTCAGCTCCTCTGGCCCACCAAGGTCAGGGCCCTGGACACAGCCCCAGGAAGGACTCGAGGACTGGATACAGCACCCCCACCTGTGTGCCCACCTGTGGCGCTGGCGTAGACCACCCTGGCCAGGGGCAGCTTGTTCTGCAGGTCCAGGACAGCCTTGCCCATCTTCGTGGAGCTGGCGTTCTTGGCTTTGTGGCACTCGTCAAACACGATCTGGTGCGGGAGGGGTTAAGGACTGTTCTGGAAGGCGGGCAGCCCCAGAGGCCCTGGCCTGATGCCCCAGGGGGACCTCAGCAAGGTGCCTGGAGGCCGTTGGGGCGAGGGGGGAACAGGCAGGAGGCCCTCCCGAGCACTGCTGGTGCACGGCTGACGGTGATGCCTTTATGAAGACCTTAGGGAGCACGGCGACGCAGACACGCACACAGTGAGCAGAGAAATGGGGTCTCTGAGCACGGGGGGCGGGCTGGGAGCAGGCCGGCATCCTGGCTGTCGCTGTCCCCCCAGAGGAGGAACTCTGTGGGGTGTCTGCGTAACTGCCCGCAGATGCTGAAGGCACTGAGCTAACGGACTGCAGCACGGGGTGCGGGAGGCACGGTCCACGCAAGTACGCGGATCGTGAACCTATTTTAAAGCGGGGTGTTCCTGCACACACGTGTGCACGTATACATAGGACGTGTGTGTAAGTTCACTGGAGAATTTACGAAAACAAGACTGAGCGGCAGGAGCACGGAGCAAGCACGCAGCCCCCGGGGGTGTTCTGCGTGCTGTCATTTGGCCAGGCGGTGCGTGCAGAGGGGTCACCGGTCCTGTCTTGAGGCCCGTGGGAGCCGCTCTGTAGCCCGGCCAGTGTCTGACCACAGTAAACCCGTGACCTGCCCATCGAACTGTGAGGACACAGAGGGCCAGCGTCCCTCTTCCTATCTGTGGCTGGGACCAGAAGCGACAGGGGCTTTTGGAGAGTGCCGGATGGCCTTGGGGCCAGTCACCCCGCTTCTGGGAACGGGCCCGAGGAAAGAGAAGCAGTGATGGGGCAGCTCGGCCGGGCCCGACCACTCAGGGCTGTTTACAACAGGGACGCTGGAAACCCCCGCAGTGTCCCTGATACAGGGAAATGGCTGAGTAAGGACAGGGCGGCAGGACACGTGGTGATGAGCAAACATGCCCAGGGAGGAGGAAAGTGATGTGCCAAGGTACACAGGGCACAGCGTCTGGGGCGGAACATCCTATGCAGAGCCCCCCCCCCCCGCCCCCAAACCCTTCAGTGAGGGCCGGGCCCTGCCCCAGAGCAGAGCAGCGGCAGCGGTGCAGAGACAGCAGGCACACCAGGGGGCAGGGCCCCGGGGTATGGAGCAGGCAGCAGAGCAGAAACCCCCAGTAAGGGCCGTGGGCCCCACACCAGGCACCTCACTGGGGCAGACAGACGGGGATCTGCTGGCAGAGTGCTGCCGACGCCCGATGTGCGTGACGGACAAGCGGTTAACACACGACCCACGCCAGACTGCCCCGCTTGTACTTGGACCTTCTTGCGTGTAGCTGGAGCCCACACGGATACCAACACCTACCAACGGGCCAGCAGAGCCCCCAGCCCCGCAGCTGGGCCTCCGGCCCCACTGTCCCCTAGCTGCCCCCCTAGTGGAGGGGGAGGGGAGGAGGTGCTCCCCACCCTATTCCTGCAGCCACAGGCACCCGCCCCCCCGGGCCCCTTCCCACGCCTGTGGTCAGGGGTCTGGCCTGCTGGAGCCAGGAGGCCGGGCAGACAGCAGAGGACAACAGTGCGCCCTGGGGGCGACCTCCTGCCGGAATTCCTTGCACCCACGGCTCCGCCCCTCCCTCTGACCCCCAGACCCACACCCCCCTCTGGCTTTCCGGCCCTCCAGTTCACTACCCCCTAACCGCCTAACCCGCCTAACCCGCCTGGCCCCTTGCTCCCTTAGACCCGCCTCCAGCCAGGATACGACGCCGTCGAAGGCCTCCCCGCACCACTCCAAGATCTGGCGGATGCGCGTGCGGTGCTGCCCGCCGGCCTGGCTCTCCCCAATCAGGGCAGAGTAGGTGGCAAAGAGGACGCCCTCTGAGGTAGTGTTGTCGCCGTACTTGATCTGGGAGAGAGGGGCGGGCGTGGGGGTGCGGCCGGACTGAGCTCAGGGTCCCCCCCGCCGGAGGGGCAACCCCACCCACCTTGCTCAGCGCGTGCACCGCGATGCCCCGGGCTTCGATGTCCCGCAGGTCGCGCTCTGCGTCATACTTGAGATCGTTGGAGACGCTGAACCTAGGGGTGCAGGCTGGTGGGTGCCACGGCGCCCACTCCCCCGCCCGCCTGGGTGGAGGGTGGAGGGCACACTCACCACAGAGACTTTTTCCGGCCCCGCAGGTAGTTCTCCAGGATGATGCCGGCCACCGTGCGCCCCTTGCCGACGCCCGCGCCATCGCCGATGAGGAAGCCGGCCCGCTGCCCACTGGGGAGCAGGACCTCGTGTTGCTGCGGGCGAGGGAGGCGGTCAGGGCCTGGCAGGCTGGGCCTCCCCGTGCCTGGTGGGCCTCCCACACGGGACGTGGGCCGCACGGGAGCCCCGGGGTCACCTGGCAGGCGTAGGTGATGGCCTCTAGCTGCAGCGCCGACAGGGCCCCGCTGTCCGAAGCGGGCAAGGCAAGCGTGTAGGTAATATCTGGCGGTGGGACACTGGACAGTGTGCTGGTCTCCACCACGCGGTCCGGATGCTGTTTCCCGATCTTGGCTGGAGAGGCACAGCCAGGGGCGGGTCAGGGGCAGGTCAGGCTGTCAGGGTTGGTGGCCAGGGGCTAGGGTGGGCTGGGGGAGGCTCCCAGAAGGGAGAGGGGCAGAGCAGGGTCTGGGGAGAGGGCCCATTGGGGCTTTGCAGATCCATCAACTCCTGCTCACGGAGGAACGTGGGCTTACTTCTCAACTACTCTCTGCTACCCCCGACGTGGGGATTACCCAGCTGCCCCCAGGCCTGCCCACAGCTCCGGAGCCTTCCCCCCTCCAGAAACCCAGGAGCCAGCTGGCAACCTCCAGCCCTGCTCCTGCCTATGGCTGGAGCCCACTGGGGCCATGCGGGCCTGGCGGTGCCACGGGCACTCACATTTGGACGGCACGTAGTCTGCGTAGGTCTCTGTGTGGCCCAGCTCCTCTCCTTCGTCTTCCTCTGCCTCATCTTCTTCCTCAGGCTGACTCTGAGACTGAAGGTTAGTGCCAGAGCTGTAGCCAGGGCTGGATGGGCCTGTCCTGCCCGGCCTGGCCGGCCTTCCCCAGGGCGCCGCCTGCGCAGTGAACAGGGCTGGGGAGTGGCCCTCCTGACCCCAGTGTGCTGCGTCCCCAGGGCCTGTTTCCTCGTCTGTAAGATGGGCAGACCCATCTTCTAAACAGGTGCTTCTGAGCATCTGCAAGGGGCAGGCAGCGCTGCGGAGGGGCCCAGCCTACCTGGTAGCTGACAAGAAGTGGGGTGCTGGAAAGGGAGGACACAGGGTCCTCGAGGCCCGTCCACGGCCCACTGGGCAGGAGCAGCTAGAGGGGAGAGCGGACGAGATGTGGGGAGGAAGCGCCTGCATGGCGCCCCCAGCTTGGCCCCCCTTCTTGCACTGTCCGCATGCCCCCCCACCCCCGCCAGCTGCCTGCCTCCCTCCCACAGCCTGCCAGCTGGTTGGAGAGACGGGCTACAACCCCCATCATGCAGAGAAATGAAGGAAGGACACGTCCCACGTCCCAGACCACAGTCACAGCCTAGGGAGACAGAGCACCTGAGGCTGGTCCAAGGAGACCAAGAACCTGGTGCACAAAGCGGGTGCCTGGGGGCATGAGGCCTACCTGGGGTCAGAGCCCACAGATGGACCAGGCCAGGAGACCCAAACCCTCGGGGGCCCTGTCACCCCTGGCCCTCGACCTAGCCACCCTCAGGGAGTGACCACACCCTTGTCCAGTGCACTGAGGCTGGGGGGGCAGGGGTTACTGCTCTGCCCCAGGACACAGCGGGGACACAGCAGGGGCCCGACCAGGGTCGGCAATTCCAAAACAGGCTTCCCCTTAAGATAAAAATCACGTAGGTCATGCGGCTGTCCTGAAAACCGTGAATGTGAAAAACAAAATAGAAACGAAATCTAAATAAATAAGAAAAAGAATAATAAATGAAGCAATCCCTTCCAGGCCCCGCCTCCTCCCAAGACCGGTGACCGCAAGCACTAGGGGCTCACTGCTGGGCACACGTGGAGCTCCAGGGTCCGTTACAGTCCTGGGGGATGACAGGGGTCCCGAACGGGCTTGTCGTGCGATAACCTGCTTGATTTTTACTGACTCCAGCTGTTCTCAAAGGGTAAGAACGCACCCAAGTTTTTTGGGAAAAAAAATGTGATGAAAGTACTAGGAGCCAGAAACCCACACTCAAATCCCTGGCCCCTTTTTTTTTAAGTTAACAAAAACAAACAGCCTCAGGCCCGGGTTCCTGGAAGGCTGAGTCAGGGCCCTGGCGGGCTGGCAGCAGCAGGCTGTGGGCGCCAGGCTTCAGCTGCCCTCCTGCCGGCCGCTTCGTGCCGCCTCCGCCTCACGGTCTCCGCCAAGCAGGGCGCCGCTCACAGGCCCTTCGCCCCGACTGCGAAGGGGGCCTGGGTCGCCCCCAAGGCTATCAAGGGCAGGGACCGTGCCAGGCGGTCCTGGGCACCTCCTGTCCCTCCGCCGGCCCCAGGCGGGGCCCCGAGCCTCCCAGACCTGTCCACTCGACCCTGCCTAAGGGGCCAAAGGTGCCGAGGAAGCTCCAGGTGGCTGGGCAGACAGCACGCCCGCTTGCGGTGCCACCGGGCAGGGCTCCGTGGGCTCTGATGAAGAGCCTGCCCTCCCTCCGGCGCACGTGGCCCTCCTCCGCGTTCCCAATGCCGCCTTTCAGAACCTCGAACCAGGCTTCTGGCTCCCGAAAGCTCGGGGCTGCTCTCCGGGCAGAGAACCCCAGCTGGGCCCGGATGGGGCGGGGGTCCCTCACTGACGTGCCCGCTGCCCAGCCCTGGCACGCCTGAGGACCCTGCTCACCATCTGGCCTCACATCACCCACGCTTCCCTGTCAGAGTCCTGCACCAGGAGCTTGACAGATGCCAAGCCAGCTCTTTGGCTCGTGGGCTCCCACCCACTCAAAGCCAGGAGCACCCACCCCCCGCCCGCCCGCCGCAACGCCTCCAGACCTTGCCCAGAATCACCAGAGGGAGAACCAGCGCTGGAAGCTGCCCTTTGCTTGTCTCCTGGTGAACCCCTGGTGAACCCCGTCTGCCCCGCGGAGCATGGTGTGGAGACGAGCCCCACACGAGCCCCCAGAGGCCGTGAGCGGGGCCTGGCTGGGACGGGACCCTTCGCAGAAGGACGGCTGACGAGCCCAGAGCAGGAGCCGCCCCCTGCCACCCCCTCCTCTGTATTTTCTGGGTCGTGCAGAAAACACGAGGACCCCTGAACCACCACCTCACTGGTGGGCGACCTGGATCGGCCCCCGGCCTGTGGAGGGGGCCCTGGGACAGCAGCCCGTGCAGAGACCTCAGGGTGAGCTGACCTTGTCTTGAGTGGAGGGGCCGGTGCTCACATCCCAGATGGTGGGCACCTGGCTGAGGCTGTCAGCCGGCAGGAAGTCAGGCGTGTCTGCGATGTCTGAGAGGGAGTCCACGGACGAGGAGAAAATGGAGGCGTTGGAGAGGTCGTCGAGGTACGCGGAGTCCTGGAAGACGAGCAGGATGAGAGGGGCCCAGCCACACGATGGACACTCCTGCCACCAGCAGGGGCGAGGCCCCCCCGACCCGCCCCGGGGACAGACCCGGAGCCCAAGACGCTCAGGGAGGGAAGGAGACACAGGAGGCCCCACGGGGTGGGAGTCCACGTGTGTGACACGTGCAGGACGGGCTCCTCCACGGATGGGGAGGGGGCTGGGGGGGCTGGGAGGGGGGCTGCGGAGAGGGTGAGGGGTGACAGCTGATGGGGATGGGGTTGCCTTTGTGATGGAATGTTCTGGAATTAAGTGACACTGGGAGCATGTGACACTAGTGCTCACATGTCCAGACACAGAGAGGCCCGCACCTTCAAGGGGGAAGTTTGCTGTACAGATTACACGTAGTTTAGGAACCTAAACTTTTATTTAAAGGTTTTAATTATTTATTCATGAGAGACGCAGAGAGAGAGGCAGAGACACAGGCAGAGGGGAAGCAGGCTCCCTGCGGGGAGCCCGATGCGGGACTCGATCCCGAGACCCCGGGGTCAGGAACGGAGCCCAAGACAGATGCTCCACTGCTGAGCCCCCCAGGCGCCCCTAGAAACCTAAATTTAAAGACTATCGCTGCAATGCCAGCGGTGTTCCCATGCTGCCCCGCCCCAGGGCCACGGACACGGACACGGAGCCCCCGTGAGGACCCGGCTAGCACTGGACACCTGGCGGCTCCTGGACCAGCCAGGAGTGGGCCCTGAGGCAGACACCCCACACAGGCCCTGCGGGTTGCGGTGTCCGTGCCACTGGCCACCAGGAGAGGGCAGTAGGTGTCTGTTTTGCAGACGGAGACCCTGAGCACCTGAACGGGGAGGGGGCAGGCCCAGGTCAGGGGGGCGGGGGCGGGGCACAGCCCTCAGTGGACTCCTCACAGGGAGCGAAGCCCCACAGACCATCCCAGATGAGGCTCTTCTAAGCCAACCCTGTGACAGAGGTCCCAGTCACGTGGACGTGTCACATCAGTGGGGGCATTTCCTGAGCAGAGCGTTGGCCGGCGTGCAGGAGCAATGGAGGGGCCCCCAGGAGCCCCCGGGCCCTGCGCAACTGTCGGGGCCGTTGGAGGGCCAGGGCCAGTGCGCTGCGACGCCTGCACACTAACCACTGCGGGGTGGGGCAGGAGACGGCAAGGGCCAGCCAGCGGGGTCTGGGAGTCTGGGAAGGAAGGAGACCGGTGGGCCTGGAGCCCACCCTGCTGTACCTGGCTCACCCCAGGTGAGCTGGCTTCTAGGAGTGGAGGGCAGCATCCATGGAGCCCCCAGGTCACTGGGACCAGGCCCTGGTCTCGGCCAGGGCTGGGGACCGCCCCGTTCCACTGGGGAGCTCCCCTCCCATCACTCTGTGCTGGATCAGATCCCTGTTCTATGGGGGGGGGGGGGATCTCCAGGAGATTGCACTCAGCTTCCCAAGGGCCTGTTTGGACCCCAGAGCGCGCACAGCCCCGGGACCAGGCAGGCTCGGGTCTGTTGCGCAGGGCCCCTTGGGAGGGGTGGGTGGGGATGGGGCAGGAGGTGCGGTCATCGGTGTGCTGGATGGGGTGGTCACACAGCCCGGCTGCGACTCGGCCTGCGCAGGAGAGACCACCCTCGGCCACATCAGCGGCGTGAGGCTGCGTGCCTGGACTCCGGTGGCTGCTGGCATAGGGAGGCAAGAGGGGCCACGACTCGCTCCCGCCCCTGGCCTGCACCCACCCTGGACCCGCGGGAGGCAGACCCTGGCTGGACCTGCCAGCCTGGGCAAGTGCGGGCGAGGAGGCAGCCAGTGGGGGCAGGACCCGCCCGGGCAGGCGGTGGCCCGGAAGGTTTAGGAGTCTGCAGCACAAGGAGGCAGGAGGCCACAGCGACCTGAGAGGCCAGAGGCCACCGTGCCATTCCTTGGGGTGCCCAGCCCCCGCGCGAGGGCCCAGCAGCCAGCGCCCAGAGGGGCCGGGGGGTGGGGGCGCCGAGGTGCCAGGAGGGGTCTGGCCTGCTGACCCTGAGGCCTGCTCTCTGCCCACCGGGACCTCCTGGGACTCCGCCACTTCCAGGAGGCTGGGGTCAGAGGCGGGGAGGCCACAGAAGCGGGCGCTCGGTCCCTGGGAAGCACCCTGGGGCAGGGACCCTCTCCCGGGGCTGCCTGGGGTGGGGGCAGGTACAGGGGCCGGGAGTCTTTGCTAACATCCCCATGGAAGGGCGTCGGAGCGCAGCCTTCCCAGAGGGCGCCACCCAGCCTGGTCAGGGCGACAAGAGCCCCTGAGCCCATCAAGCTGGCAGCCCCCAGAGGCCCCGAGAGGCGGCCCTTCTTCCTGAGGGGGAGGCAGCCACGAGCCGGGGGGCAGTAGCCCTGACGAGGGCAGGAGACGAATGGAGCGGCCAAGGTGGATGCTCAGGGCGGTCCTCCACGGGGACAGCAGCCCCGGCCAGGAGACCAGCGCCAGCGTCCGCAGGGACCCCGACGGGGCGGCGCAGGCGGGGCTCTTCCCTCAGAACCGTCATGGGACGAGCCCGGCCTGGGGACGTCCTGCAGGACCCCGCCAGTCGTCCTCCCGATGCCCAGGGCGTCCACGCGAGGACAGGCAGACAGCGTGTCAGCCCGGAGGGTCCAGAGGACAGAGGTGTCATGAGGGGTCCTGGGCAGGGGACACAGGTGCCGCGGGGACCTCTGGTTGGTGATGATGTATCGGTGCCTGGTCGGTGGGGACACAGGCAGCGCGCTACGGTGAGGAGGGGCCGCGGGGCTCGGTGCTGTCCCCTTCCTCCCACGGGAGACGCTGCTCCAAGGTAACGGGTTCCGCCCACTCTGGGGATGCCGCGTTCCCCAGATCCCGGACCCTCCCAGACTCTTGGGTCTGAGGGTCGCAGGGCCTCACGGGGGTCACCGGGGGTCCCCCTCAGCCCGCTCCCTTACGCAGTGGGTGGCAGGAAGGGCCCGCGCGACCCGCTGTGTCAGGATGTGATGCCCGGTGGCCCCAGCAGCCCTACAAGGTGACCCAGTCGCAGTCTCCGTCCACGGACACCCCACGGAGACGTCCTCGGACCCCAGGCCCCCACCCTACTCGGTGGGCTGCAGCCCCTTGGGGGCAGGGAGTGCCGGTCACCCTGAGAGCTTGGGGGACCAGGGAGGTCACAGGGTCAGCTACCGTGGTCACCAGCTCTGAGTTTGGGGTTCCCTGGACCAAGCGAGCACCTGGTGGGACCTGGTGCAGCCGCCAAACGGTGCCCCCCAATTCAGCCAGAGACCAGCGGGCCGGGCCGCGCCGGGCTGCCCCCAGACCCCTGTGGGCCTCCCTTGGGGGCGCCCCGACCCCAGCAGCGCCGGCAGACACAGGTGCGTCCGCTAGCCCTGGGCAGGGCACCCGTCCTGCTCCCCGGGGGGCTCCGCCAGCTGTCCCGCGGCCACCCTGGGGCGGCCAGAGCGATCCCAGCCCCGGGATCCCAGCCCCGCGGAGGGGGAGGCGGAGGCGGAGGCGGCGGCGGCGGCGGAGCAGGAGGAGGAGCGGGGCAGGGGGAGGCGGAGCGGGGCGGCGGGCGGGAGCGGGCAGGCCGGGCCTTACCTGGTTGAGGGCCGCGAAGTGCAGCCAGAACTGCAGCTGGGACATGGCGGCGCGTCCCCGTCCCCGTCCCCGTCCCCGAGCCCGAGCCCGAGCGCGGCCGGGTCCCCGACGGCGGCTCCCTCATCCCGCGGCCCCGCTCCCGCCCCGGCCCCGGCCCCGCCGCATTTGCATGTGGCTTTAGTCAGCGGCGGCGCCTACTTCCCCTCGGGCGCTGACTTTCAGGAAATGAAGGCTGCCCGGGAAGCGCCGATTACCGGCAGGGCGAGGATTCCTGTACTGGGCGGAATCTACCGCAGGCGCGGCCCCACCGCCGCCCCCACCGCCCCGCGCCCGCCGCCCGCCTGCAGGGACCCGCGGCCCACAAGCCCCCAGCCCCTCGCGCAGCGCCCCGCCGGGGCCACCCGGACCTGTGTCGGGGCCTCACTGGGCGCCCCCCGCAGGGCCCTGCCCGGCTACGGCCCCACCCGTGGGCCTCCCCCGTGGGAACCTGCCCGCCCCCCGCCCCCCCCCCCCGCCCGGCTCCTTGTCTTGGAACCTTGCCAAGGGGTACGGCTGTCCCGACACCCCGCTCCTTCCTCTCCCGCCACCCCAGGCCCCTGGGCCCTGCACACAGCGGGGCACGGGCAGGGCAGCGCCCTCAAGCTCCGAGTGGGGTCACAGACCTTGCACCAGGCCCCAGGCGCCCTGTCCCACGGGAAACAACAGCTGCGTTCAGCAGCCCCACTTCGGGGGATGGTTCTGTGTGGCGGTGTCGCCCCTCGGCCGAAGGAGCAAGCTCGGGGTCACAGACACCTGCGGGGCCACGGCCTGCTCAGGGCCTGTGAGGGGTCACGGGCCTCAATGCCGCGGGTACAGCAAGGCCTCCCCGGCCGCCCCCGGCCGCCCCTGGCTGCCCCCGGCCTATGTGCACCTCACAGGCCGCAGGCAGCACAGCCCCCTGCCTGGCCCCGGCGCCAGCGCTGCCTGTGAAAGGGAAAGTAGCAGCAGTGACACCCCAGCAGGCGGCCCAGCGCCCTGGGCCCAGGCACCGCACCCCAGAACCCGGGACACGCGGCCTGCCCGCAACACACGATGACAAGTGGCGGTGAGGACGTGAGGACGCGGAGCCATCAGAACCCCACCAGGCCGGGGGGCCGTGACCCGGGGCAGCCGCTTCGGACACAGCCCCGTGGTCCCTGGAAGAGCCGCACGCGGAGTCATCGACCGACCCTGCGGTTCCGTGGCTGCGTACGCGCCCGGGGGGCAACAAGGACACACGTCACACAAAACCCACCATCGCACGTCCACGGGGGATGTGGCCCAGCCACGCGTGGGAGCGTCACTCGGTCGCCAGCAGGAGCGAGGCCCCCTGACACTGCCCCGGGGACGGACCCTGAGCCCCCGACGCTCGGGGAGGGAACCAGACACAGGAGGCCCCTCAGGGTGCGAGTCC